AAAGCGCAAGTGACTTCCGATCCGTCTTCGCAGGAGCACTCACATTCTTTCTCTTTTATACTGTATTCTATTCAATCCCACTTCCCCTGCTTACCTTAAAGAGTGGTTTGAGTTTCTTAGTGACACTAACTGTCGCTCTCTTCGCTCTGATAAAAACCTAGCCTTAAAAATGCCGTCCCATAATACTTCTGTCAATTCTGAATCCTTTTCTATTGTTGTTCCGCTCTAGAACTCCTTACGGCTGCAAATTAGAAGTGCGCAATCTATTGAAAAGTTTAAAATACTTGTCAAAGCGCACTTCTTTCCTCCTTAAATAGTAGTAGCTACCTCTATTTCTCCTTGACATTTTTCATTTAAAAATTACTAGTTTTTCTCCTTAATTTAATGCTTTTATTTCACTTACTTGTTTACTCTTTTCTGTGAAATGTATTTATTAATTATATTATAATACATGTATTACCAAGTATATTATTATATTTGTGTCGTGTGTACTTTCTAGCGACTTACGTACACCCTTACCCTTTCTTACAGGTCATTATATCTTCTTCAATGTTACTGCCTGGCAGAGATCGCTTCTAACGATAAAGCAACCAATTGTAATAATAATAATAATAATAATAATGCTTTATTTCCTTAAAATTACATACATAAACTTAGTAGATGGGTCCTCTAGTAAGTTTGTTTCTTGTATAAATAGGAAAGATTTTTGTTTACACGATTATTCATTTTTAGTCCTTTCAATGATTTGTTGTTTTTTTTTCTCTTATTTTCTGACTTTTTTAGAATAGGGTGACAAACGAGCACACTGGCCAACTGATGGTAATTGGATGCTGTGGTCCATAGACCACATTTATCCTCAACTAACAATCAAAATGCAGATGCGTTGTCACCCGTGAGGACTAAGATGGAATGCCTCGTTTCCAGTAAAATGGGTCTCCGGTTCTCTACACTCACCATACGAAAAACAGCAGTGTTAAGCTGCTATTTTACGCTGGTAATCTGTGAGAGCGTTGTCCTCCCACTCCGGTCGAGCATTCGTGTTACAACCATATTATAGCTGCAGCGTGGCGCTACCAACTTATGTTATTTAATTTAAAATGGTATTGGGAGAAAACAAATATATCCTCAATTAAAGAGGGGGAAAAGAGAAATTTTCGTAAATGTTGCATACCATCTAAGCCTTTTAATAACTATTGCTGATCTGTCCGCCGTTTTAACAAGTAAACAATGTGCTACAACCGTAGCTATTCTACCATGTAGAGTAGCTACGGGTGTAGCAAATTGTTTATTGGTTGTAGCACATTGTTTATATATTTATATATCGTAACAAAATAGTTGTAGCACGCTGTTTATATAAATGATCGTAATGGTAATAACATTTCATAATTCACCATGTTTATTGATAATCAAGGTAAATCGAAACGGTCTCGAAGCAGAGGCTAATGGAAGGTAATGAATTTAACCGCTAGCCGTCAGATCGCACTGGATCCAGAGTTAATTAAATTCTGTCACTAGATCCACCGTCACATCCGATGTTTACACGCTAAATTCCAATCAACTGCAATAATTATTTAATGCGGATGTATGGCGATGAGGATGAACGGTGTTTGTTGTTTTGACTAAAAGTTTATATAAAAAGTAGAAAAGAACATCAAGGACTTGGGATGTCTAATAATGCGATTGCTAGTACAATTGGCATCTGGTGTTTTTTAAAGGATAAGGTGACAAACGAGCACACAGTCCACCTTATGGTAATTGGTTACTGTGGCTGATAGACATCTACATCTGTCCTCGATTACGAATCAAAATGCAGATGCGTTATCACCCGTGAGGACTAAGATGGAATACCTCGTTTCCAGTAAAAAGGGTCTCCGGTTCTCTACAGTCACCATACGAAACACAGCAGCATTATGCTGCTATTTTACGCTGGTATTTTGTGAGAGCGTGGTTCTTCCCCGGTCGAGCCGACCTTTTCGTGCTACAACTATACTACTAATATAACTGTAGCATGGCATTTTCACTACAATGTGAGAGTTCCATTCCTATGTCCAATAGTAGACTGCTTACGACGTGGTGACGGTAAAAGAAAACATCGATACGATGATTAAGTTTCATTGCCAGATTTAGAGCACGCTTTCCATATATTTTCAGTAGCTGAAAAGCACTGATGCATATAAAAGTATACGCACAAACAAAAAAGCCCCTCGTCCCAGCCCACCTATAGGCGATGTGACGCTTACGAGATAAGCTCTAAGAAAGACTCGGATGCTGTGTTGGAGACTCTTGAACAATCACAATATATCCATCTTCTTATATATAAACATTAATTGTTGTCCATAAGTCTCGCTGAAACTCTAAAACGGTACTAACAATTTTGATGATTATTTCAGTATATTTGAGTGGGTCCCTGGATAGTTTAAATACACTGTTGGACCTGGTAAGTGGTGCTTTTATCAAGATCCAAAAATCACTTGTGCGAAGCCGGGCTGTATCACTAGTACAACTATAATTATTAATGTTTCATAAATGTTGGCTCTACTGGGGATCAGTAATCATAGAATTTATTTATTAAAGTATTATAAAATACAATATATAGTAATATGATCATTCGGTTAATATGGTCACTTCTGTATAACTCATAAACTACCAGCCATGTTTGCATAGATGAAAGTCATTACGATAGCTCTTCTTCGGTAAATCAAATAATAAAGAATAAAAAGGGCTCTGCTTTATCGACGCCATTTTTACAAGTGACGTTATAGCAAATATTTTAGTCGTTTTTAGTATTGCATAGCGTAATTAGTTTTTTTTAAGTAGATTGTATTCCTAAATATTGCCAAGACTTGTTTGCTATTGTTTTTCTTAATATTTTGGTTATAGTATGCGACCTTGTGTTTTTGTATCTGTCTTCCTCCTAGTATTTGTTTTATAGGGCGGTAAAGATTAAGGTGACTATATTACTCTCACGTACTAGACCATATTACCCTCAAGTACCTACCTTACCGGTAAGCTAGTATAATATTAATATATATATATATATATATTTTTTTTTTTTAAAATTTTTTTTTTTTGGATTTTTTTCTTTTTTTTCCTTGTTTTTGTGTGGTTTTTGTTTTTTTTTTTTTTTTTTTTTTTTTTTTTTTTTTTGTTTTTAATATTTATTTTTTTTTTTTTTTTTTTTTTTTTCTTTTCCCCTTTTTTTTTATATATATATATATAAATATATATATATATATATATATATATTAGATTGTATAAGTAACTATAAGAAACCGTGTAGTAGGGGCGTAAGACATCCACTATCCATTATCGTCCCGTGGTTGTCGTAAGAGACAGAGGTAAACTGAAACAGGATGGGCAACAACATATTCTTGCTAACAACTCTTTATAAGAAACTGCAAACGTGCATGCCACGCGTGGCAAGTGTGGCAAAAATACCCTATGAGGCAATCTATGCGGAGGCCATTGTTACTCTTTTAGCCTGTCATAGATAGATTAATTATCATCATCATCACCGTTACAGCCCTTCACAAGTCCATTACTGAACATAGGCCTCCCCACGGATTGCCATTTTATTGGATGGATGGATAAAATAAGTGAAAATTTTAGTTTTTATAAATATTATCATGCAAGTGTAAATAAGTCCACAAAAGTTTTTAGCTTTTACTTTCGTTTTAGTATGCGTTGTTAAGGACGGAACATCTGTCGATGTAACAAAACATTGTCACGCAGCGATCGAGTCGCCATCATAAATCAATTTTTCAAGACTGGACCCCACTCAAACACACTTAAACGAGCAAACAATATCATGAACTATGAAAAGTGTTTGAGCAAACAAAATGGAAACGTTCTTTTATTCATCCGAAAAAATAACCTTTAAAATATAAGCTTTCAAGTATGTGATAATATGATATTGCAATTTATAGGTATTAGATTCATTAAGAGCTTAGCGCTCATGCACCAACAAAACTGTTAATTACAATTAAAAAAGCCCTGAGATCATGTCCGAGGAAACCTGCATGTTTGAGTAAGTACTTACAAATTATTACTTATTTAATCTTTATTGTTAATACCTTAATACATAGGGTAACAGAGGGTGGACTTAATGTCAACCCGTGGATTGATGAGATTTTGTAGGTACAATTATATATTTTGTGATTTTTATACTGTCTGGAAAAAATAGGGTGTAGCAGGTTAAGGAAATAGAAGCCTACGGCACTGATATTTTACAAGTTTTTTGCTTTTACATTAACATATTATGAAATTGAACTATCAATAAATACCATTAATTAAAATAAAATCAAAATCAAAAAGGGCGTTAGTGTCAGAAAAAGGGCGTTAGTGTCATCACGGTTCACATCGCCTCCGTAGTAAATTTTATAAAATAAATAGAATTACATCAAATTTACACAGTAAACTAACTTAAAACTATAGGTGTATTGAAGAGAAAGTGCCACAAACGTTATTTACGTGAAAACGTTAAAAATAAATGTGTTTATGTGAAATTTTCATTTTGTGTATAAACATAATAAAAATTCGACAATGTAAGTTCGAGTGCATGAACAATGGACGATAATATAAATAAACACGAATTTACTTCATTTTGACTCGGTGAGTGACTATATAAAAGACAACACAATTAAATTTTCTAATTATTCGGACGTTATAAATTCAAACTTGACATAAATAAAGATCAGCTGTTGAATCATCATAACATTCATATCTAATCTCACTACTACTAATCACTAGACGTCGCTACTTTCCATATAAACAATTGCATTAATAAGCGCCATCTAGTTAATTATTGAAGAAAGTGATTCACGTTTACAGACATATATAAGTACGTCTTAAGTAACATGTCCTCTCGTCACTAGCTGCCGCTGCTTTCCATACAAGAAATACCCTGAATAAGCGTCAACTGTCTGTCGCCCCTGATACAGTAACGACATCTACTAATACATTACTGAATTAAGCGCATTGTATAGATTCTCATTGACAAAATGACAAAACCCAATTTAAAAAATACAGATAATGACCGTAAGATGACACTACAAGTTACATGTTCCAAATGTAAGCGTAAGGTTGACCCAAAAAATACAATGTTATGCTCGCTATGCAGGAATAACTTTGAATTTGATTGCGTCGGATACTCGGAGAGACTGTACCGCTTAAAAGATGCAGCAGCTAAAAGTAAATGGAAGTGCAAAGACTGTAGCCAAAAATCAAAAGGGACTTCGACACCTTACTCCTCTTTATCCCACGTAACCACAAAGAAATATAAAATAGCTAAGAAATCCTACGAAAGCCCTTCTACTTCAAGTGCAATTTTTATGCCGACTGAGACGGAACCTTCAGAAATGGCGCCTGCAAGTGTGTTAGTACATCTGGACGATTCACAAACAATGCAGACAAGCATTGCTCAACTGAATGCCTCACCAATAAATCAAATAGACGACTCACAAGCACTAACTTTATCCCACGATTCCAACGAACCTGACGACTCACATGTGCTGACTACCTCCCACGATCTGAGTGAGCTTGTGGTTTCCTTTCGTAAACCACTTTCAAAAAGTTTGGATCAAACTATAACCGACTCTATTGCAATACAGGAAATGAAGGACACAATGAACCGACTCCGAACGGAATATAACATACTACAGAATGAATTCGATAACATAACATTAGAAAATAACAATCTCCGACAGAAAATAATCAAATTGACAAAGGAAAATAAGACGTTGACAGCCTTATGCCAATCTTCACATAACGTTGGCCAAACAAGCCAGAGCTCCGAAAAACGAAATAAACGATCCAAACGACAGTCAGTATTATCTTCTTCTCTCACTTCTCACTCTCACATTGGTTTTGTTTCTCCGGCATATAAAAAAACAGCTCATTCAAACACCACACCCATGGCACTCCAACTAAAAATTAAAGACTTAGAGAAACAGCTTAAATATACTGAAAACCAGGTAATATGTCTAAAAAAATATATAAATACTCTGGAACAGAAATTGACAACAGCCTTAGACAACACACAAATGCCTTTACAGACTAAATCCACGAGCTTAGTATGCGCAAAAAAAGAAGATGACAAGAACCGGTTATACATCATAGGAACCCAGCGCTGTACCGGTCTCGCCTCCGCCCTAATTCAGTCTCGAGCGAACACGCCATACGTGAAATACGCTATCACAGCAATAACAAAACCATATGCACCGTCTTCACATTTTATCATAAATATTCAAAACGCAAATTTAAAACCAAGAGACAAAGTTATAATCTGCATTGGCGAAAACGACTATGATATTAAAATACTATCATCACAGCTACGACGGTCTCTCAAATATTTTCCTGATAATGACATAATTGTATTAAATTTATTGACAAATATGTACCTAAGTGTGACTGACATAAATAAAACTTTAAAGAGAATTTGTAATGAAAATCAAAAATGTCATTTCGTGGAATGTAAACACAGGAATCCTTTACAAATATGTAATTCGATTAATTATGTAATAGATTGCATTGACTACGAAAATGAATATCTCAATCCCAAACAATTGAAAAAAATAATAGCACGTAGTAAGCCAGCGCCTGAAAAAGTTCCCTCTAAAGTGGTACAGTATCCAAAGGGAACAATCCCATACTATTTTTCCAGGACTCGATTGGGGGCTAATACCTCTATTAGTGGATCTAATGCCAATAGGCCAATGCGTTTAACTCAAAGTACCTTACTGCGTTATTTTAAAAAAATAGATAAGCCTTTTTTTTGTGACTCACAGTAATAAAACTTTTAAAATTATGCACCAAAACATTGCAAGTGTCATGGCAAAGCAGGAATTACTAGAAATAACATTACAAAAACTGAACAAGATGAAGAATGAACCAGATCTAATATGTTTGTCTGAAACTTTTCTGCAATCTGGTAGCGAGAAGTACCTAAATATTCATAATTATGAGTTAGCAACAGCGTTTTGTCGAGATAAACTGAGGGGAGGAACCTGTATCTTAGCCAAACAAAATAGTACCTACAAAGAAATGTCAAAACTAAAAAAGTACGCAACACAAAAGAGCTTTGAAGTTTGTGGCATAGAGATGCCTCTACATAAATTAGTGGTTGTATGCGTTTATAGAACACCTACATCTGATCCAAATATTTTTTTAAACAAATTAGACCTACTATTGCATGAATTATTAAGAAACCGTAAGTTTGATACCAAAGTTGTTGTGGCAGGCGATTTTAACATCGATACGCTGAAACAAGGACAAATATCAAATTACCTCCAAGATATATGTCTAAATCATAACCTAAAAATACATATTAAGGTACCAACACGCAAAAACTCATGCATAGACCACATGCTAAGTAACATTATAGACGCTAACGCTACGGTACCTTTATACTTATCCAACCACGATACAGCTCAATTATTGTGTTTCCCTGTGCAAATAAAAAATGAAAAACCAAAAACATACACAGTACTTAGAAAGGACTACAGTTGCGAAAATATTTACAAATTCAGGGAGTGCCTAAAAAAGCATAACTTGGTCTGAGGTATACGCAGATATGAGTCTAAACTCTGCCTTCAACAAGTTTCATGAACTACTGTGCATGTTTTATAATCTGTGTTTTCCTTTAATTAAAATTAAAGTTAACAACAATCATAGGAACACACAAAATTGGATTACCAAAGGCCTAAGAACAAGCTGTAAAACTAAACGGTCACTAAGGTATAAATATTATAAAAATAAAACAGCAATCAATAAAATCAAATATATAAATTACTCGAAAGTATTAAAAAAATGTATTATTACCTCCAAAAGGAATTCACATATAAAATATATATATAAAAGTAAAAACAAATGCAAAGCGACATGGAATGTAATAAAAAAGGAAATTGGTGGTTTAAAATGTGACAATATTATAAGTGAAATAAGTTTAAACAAAAAACAATTGACACATCCTTTTGACATAGCCTCAGCTTTTAATGAACATTTTATTGAATTGACAAATACAAAAAACCTGACGACAAATAATATACAAAAAACAACTGCTAAAAGCAAACTTATACCAAACACGATGTTTCTTCTTCCGACTTCAAAAGAAGAAGTAAAAAAAGAAATTATGGGTTTGAACAACACCAACTCAGAAGGTTTTGATGGAATTAGTACCAGAATAATTAAAATGTGTATTGATGAACTAGTGCCTATATTAACGTATTTAATTAATCTATCATTTTCATCTGGTACGTTTCCGGAAGCACTAAAACAATCAGTCGTCAAACCATTGTACAAAAAGGGTAAAAAAAATGACGTCAACAATTATCGCCCAATTACTCTTATACCTATTCTATCGAAGGTGTTTGAGAAATGTATGCACCTGAGAATACTTAATTATTGCAACACATACAACATCATTAGTAAGGATCAATTCGGTTTCCAAAAAGATAAGTCGACAACTTTAGCAACATTTACTCTTGTACAAACAATACTCACAAAATTGAATGAAGGTTATCTAACAACAGGTCTATTTTTTGACTTGTCCAAGGCATTTGATTTTGTAGACCACGACCTCTTATTAAATAAACTTGAAATGATTGGTATAAGAGGACCTACACTAGAATGGCTATCATCCTACTTGAAGAATCGATGTCAGCGCGTCACTGTTAACAAAATCATAAATAGCGCACTGGTGACATGTTCTTCTACCCTAAAAAAATAACTCCTGTGGTATCCCTCAAGGAAGTGTCCTAGGTCCACTTATGTTTATATTGTACATAAATGACATAACCAAAGTTACTGGTCATAAATGTATCTTGTTTGCCGATGACATATCAATAATTGTGACATCAGAAAAAAATAAATATAATTCAATACATGACCACGAAATTGAGATTAATAATACTATTGACAACATTATTAAATGGCTAGAGGAAAATAATCTAAAATTAAGTTAAGATAAATCATATTTCTTTCAATTTAATAAATCCAAATATGATAAATACAATTTTAACATTGATATTGAAAAGATTAAAGAAATTACACATACTAAGTTCTTAGGTATAACGATAGACCAAGATCTTAACTGGAAATTACACATTGAGGCCTTATGCAAGCGTATTAACAGCTTTGTTTATGCTCTTTATAAAACAAGGAGCGTAACTAACTTTCAAACAGCCATTACCACTTACCACGCGTATGTAGCCTCCATTCTACGTTATGGTGTGATGATATGGGGCAATAGTACTGAAAGACAAAAGGTATTTATAGCGCAAAAAAAATGCATCAGAGCCATATGTGGGATTCCACCGGGCGAGTCCTGTAGAGCAGCATTTTGGAGCCTGGGCTTACTTCCTTTGCCAGCACTGTACATCTTTGAAATGAGTTGTTTTGTAAAACGCCATACTAAGCTCTTTCAGAAAGCCAGAGATATAAACTCTCGATGGAAAAGAAATCCGGAGCGATTAGTATTAAGCGTCATTCCAAGATCTGCTAAATTCAGAAAAAGTTGTTTAGCAATGTGTGTTAAGGTGTATAATAAGATCCCCAATGACATCAAAAACCTCAAAATGAATTTATTCAAATCGAGACTCTATAAGTGGCTTATTGAACTTAAAGTGTATGACTTTGAAGAATTTATTGACATTAAGCTTTAATAATTATTGTTTTGTTGACATTGCGTTAATGAATATATTTGACCCCTTTTGAAATAAATTTTACCTGAATATAATCTTAAATTTGCATGCTAATTATAAGCAAAACATGTGAACTTATTTTACTGTACCACCTACAAACACCATGTTTTAAGCAAATAAAGAAATTATTATTATTATTATTATTATTATTTAAATAAACTTTCGGTAATAAAAATATAAAAACAAAATTTTTTAATTAAATAAATAAATCAATTAAAAACTATTAATATTAAAATAATACGCACCCAATTGGTAGTATTTACTGACAAATCTATTTCATAATATGTTAATTTAAAAGCAAAATATTTTAAATTTCAGCGCCATAGGCTTCTATTCCGTTCTCCTGTTACAATCTATTTTTTTCTAGACGGTAAAAAATCACCCAGTATATACATACATACTATAATATACAAAATCTATACCTATAGTGTATACTAATATATAAACAAAACATGTATGATATATTATATTATATATATCGTTTGAATACATTGATATAATATTTAAGGTACATTAAATAACAGAGGGAAACAAATCAGAGGGGCAGCAGCATGGCCTGTGTATAATGTATATGTAATATCCCCCTGTGAGGCAATGTGTGTTATGGTAATGTTATCGGGAATCTAACACGCACTAGAGCAGTACGGCAGACTCAGTGCTCAGGAATGACGTATTACAGAAGGTACGAGTATGTAGGCTGTAACTTTACTCTACTTGACTTTTAAATAATACAAGTTTTTACAGACTTTATCGCGTATATTAACTTTTATATATAAGTATACCCGATGTTTCGAGCACTTTACAGCACCCATGGTCACGGGGTGTACTGAGATGTTCAACGTCCAGATGTCATAGTTAACCGCGGTTACCACAGATTAAAATAAATAATTTTTGTTCCGAACTACACAGTATGAAGTTATAGTATCTTGAAGTCTTGCAGTTGTATGCTTGGGTTGGGATTTAATTTTATTACTTATAGGATCCCAAGCAGATGGTAGTAAAGTAAAAAAAAGTAAAGTTACAGCCTATATACGTCCCACTGCTGGGCACAGGCCTCCCCTCATATCTGAGAGGGTTTTAGGGCAAGGAAGTGTCCGCCACGCTGCCCCAATGCGTGTTGGCGAACTTCACATGTCTTCGAAAATATTTTTTTTCTTATTCCTCAAACATGCAGGTTTCCTCACGATGTTTTCCGTCACCACCAAGCTCGTGGTAAATCAGCACTTAAAATTGCAAGTAACAATTTCTTTGGTGCCGGCGGGGATCGAACCCGG